GCAGGCATTGCATGACACGGGTGCACTTACCTACATGCAGGCAATACACACATACACATAAAATAAAAATAATAAAATATTTTTTAAAAAAAGAATGAGACAAAAATGGCCATGAGTTGGAAACATCACTAAGTTGAAATTGACAAGAGTAGTGTCTGTTTTTTTGTTTTGTTTTTGTTGTTGTTGTTATGGTTTTTGTTTTTTGTCCTTTTGAGACAGGGTCTCCCTGTAGCCCTAGCTGGCCTGGAACTCACTATGTAGCTATGTAGACCAGACTGGCCTCGAACTTACAGAGATCCACCTGCCTCTGCCTCTCAAATGCTGGGACTAAAGGCATGCGCCACCACGCCTGGCTCAGTATCTGTTTTCTTATATGAGTATTTTAAAACTCTGAATTAAGGGGTGCTTACTTTGATAATTGCAATTTTGAGAATTTAAAAAGAAAACCTACTATAACTTGGGCATTGGTGGCACTTGGGTAGCAGAGGCAGGAAGATCAGGAGTCAAAGTCATCTTTGGCTACATGAGTTTGAGGCCAGCCTGGGCTATGTGAGACACTCTCTCCCTGCAAGGGTATGGGTGGTGGTAGTGGAAGACAGAAACACTACATATAATTGAAGGACTGGATATGTGAAGGTCATAACAGGCTCGGCCAGCATGGAATTGCTTATGGCCCTTACTGAGAAATTTAGAATAATGCCACAGTTTATTAAGGGGCAAGGCAAACTTCTCAAATAATTTTTTTTTAATTTTATGTATTATTTTTATTTTATGTATATGAGTGTATTGCCTACATGTATGTAAGTGCACCCGTGTTGTACAATGCCTGCATCGGTCAGAGGAAGGCATTGGATCCCCTGGAACTGGAATTAAGGACAATTGTTAGCTACCATTTGGGTCCTGGAAATCAAACCTGAGTCATCTGCAAGAGCAGGCAGTGCTCTTAACTGCTGAATCATCTCTTCAGCCCCAGGTTTTTATTTTATTTTATTTTAAATCTACTTTTCATAATGAGTTCCAGGCCAGCTGGGGACTCTACAGGGCAACCCTGTCTCAAAAAAAAAAAAAATCACTTTAAACTACCAGTGCCTTCCTTAAACGTAAGTCTAGTAGCTAAAATGATTGTTTTGTTTTGTTTTGTTTTGTTTTGGTCTTTTTGAGGCAGGGTCTCCCTGTAGCCCCAGCTGTCCTGGAACTCACTATTTAGACCAGGCTGGCCTTGACCTCCCAAGTGCTGGTATTAAAGGTGTGCGCCACCACGCCCGGCCCTAAAATGATGGTTTTATAAACACCGTTTAACTCATGATTTAATCCCTGGCATAGAATCTTCATGGGAACTGCAGAAAGTATTATTTAAATGTTCTGATAAGATCGTGTTATATCTGGGGAGAGTTAAGAATGCTCCTCTTGCCAGGTGTGGTGGCATCATGTAAACTGAGCATTCAGGAAGCAGAGATGGGAAAAATTGCCAAGTTTGAAGCCATCCTGATCTATATAGCAAGTTCCAGCCCAGCCAGAGAGGGGGAGAGAGAAAGAGGAGAGAGAGAGAGAGAGAGAGAGAGAGAGAGAGAGAGAGAGCGCTACGTATGTTAAAATAAGTGGTGGTAAAGAAAGCAAGGAAGTAGGCAGGTATCTGTCTGTGATCTCAGCCACTCAGAAGGCTAAGTCAAGAGGATTGCAAATTGGCCTTCCTGCCTAGCGAGTAAGTTCAAGACCAACTTTGAACTTACTGAAATCCTGTCCCAAAATGTTAAATTTCAGTGGGGACTATACCTCAGTGATAAAGCACTTGCCTAACGTGTGAGGCTCTAGGTTGAATCCCCAGGGCCACCAAAAAGTGAAAGCAGGAAAGTTTATCAGTATAATGAGTTTGGTGAATTATCTTGCAGTTCACTGAAGTCTGTTTAGGTCTATTTTCTTTGCACTCCTCACAGAAATTTTCTAAAGGGGTGGGGGTCAACCTGGCGTGGTGGCACATGCCTTTAATTCCAACACTGGGGAGGCAGAAGCAGGTGGACCTCTATGAATTCAATGCTAAACTGGTCTACATAGCCAGTTCTAGACCAGTCAGGACTGTATATGAGGCCCTGTCACAAAAAAGGGGAGAGGTGGCAGGCATGGTGGTGCATGCCTTTAGCCTTAGCACTCAGAAGGCAGAGGCAGGCAGATCTTTGTGAATTTGAAGCCAGCCTGGTCTAAATAGCAAGTTCCAGGCTAGCTGGGGCTACAGGGAGACAGAAAAAAAAAAAAGATAGTAGTAAAAGAAGGGGGGTGGAGGAGGAAAGCTATTAATAATAAGGGTTTCAGAGCTAATGAAAATGTAATATTTCAGGAAAAGTGATACTAGGCTTACTCCTGCTTAAAGTTCTCGTTAATGATTGCACAAATGCACAAAAAGTATGCTCATTAAGAATCTAGTATCACCAAGCTGGGTGGGGTGACTAGAATGTGGAAAATCAGGCTTAGATACATTATATTACAGACAGGTTGGAGTGGCTTGATAAAAACAGGATGAAGAGTATTACTGTTATCACCACTTAGGATGGGTAATGTCACATTGACTTACCTCTGAGGAACTTAAGGAGCTTTCACATACGCATTTTCCAAACCACTTCGGGCCATAGGAAACTGATTTTATCTTTATATACTGAGGGCAATTAGAACATGAAGATGTTGTTACTCACCAAGGATGTACTTAATGAGAGATTAAAAACTCACTTCTCAGGCCCAGACCTATGCTCTAGACCTCTGTTCTCTATACTGGTGTTCTCAAACCGTCATCTAGTCTGGCATTCATCAGAAACACCAAGAAGGCTCACATGGATAAGTGGGTCCTGCTTCCAGAGTTTTCTGACCTTAGTATGCCCACCTTAGGGCCTGAGAAATCTGTATTTCTAATAGACTCACACACCTGCATGGTACTCATGCTGCTAGTCCGGGGACCACATGTTGTATGCCCCTTCTTTAAACCAGTGCTATTTCTATTTTTTAGATTATAGCAACACATAATATGTTAACTGAGTGTGGTAATACATGCCTATAATTGCAGCACTCAGGAGGTAGAGGCAGAAAGATCAGGAGTTTAAAGTTATCCTCAGCTACATAGAGAGTTCTAACTAGCCTGGGCTACAGGATAGATTGGGGCTGAGGAAATAGCTCAGTCTATAAAGTACTGGCTTGCAAGCATGAGGAACTCTTGAGCCCCAGAACCCACATACACACAAAAGATGCTGGTCTTAGTAGTGCTCTGTAATCCAAGTGTTAAAAGAGTCAGAGACAGGTGTCTCTCCTCCCTGGGGTTCACTGTCCAAATTGGTCAGCCACAGGTCCTGGGGCTACAGGGAGACCCTATCTCAAAAAGACAAAAAAAAAAAAAAAAAAAA